AGAGAGAGAGAGAGAGAGAGAGAGAGAGAGAGAGATCTACACATTGTGAAAAAAATCTTATAATAAAATTGAAGTTTCGGTTTGGCTTTTGGTGCAAAATATATGGTAGAAATAGTAGTAGTTTTTGAGGGAATAAGTAATCAAAAGTGAGGCTTCAAATTGAATACTAAACTGAATTTGTTTTAGAGTTTTTTTTGTTGTATTGGTTTTTGTATAGTACTGTCTGTATTCTGTATACTATCTCTCTATATATAACTTATATGTTTATATGTGTGTATGTGCTGTGAATTACAAGAATATTCTGCTACACAAAACAGTACACATCAGACACAAGAGTTTTTTGTGAGTACAGAATATTCTGTGGCTTAACTGTAGGGGAGAGGGAGAGAAAGAAAGAACGAGAGAGAGAGAGAGAGAGAGAGAGAGTGTGAGTAAAGTGAAAAAACTCATTGATTATAAAATGAATGATAAGAATAATGAGATTTAGATTTTATTTTTTTTTCTCGACTTTCACTCTCTTGTGTGTTAAATACACTCCATATAGAAATGAATGCTAATCACACCATACGAGTGCACAGCACCGGGTGATGGGTATGAAGGGGAGGACAAGGATGTCGAGATGTGGGGGCGCTAATTGTATTGCTAATTCAGCCCTACATTATATGAATGAAAAAGCTATTAACAATTTTTTAATTTAAATAATACTATCCTATAGTATAAGTGCCTGTAATTAATGAGATGTTGCCTATTGTTGTATTTTGTGCAAAAATAATGACAATTATTGGCACTAATTATTGGATTTTTAGCTTTCATTTCAATGTATATGTTATAGAATTTTCACTCGAGATTGTAATAATATATTTATTACAATTTTTTGTTAGTATTCACATTGTATACAATGTGTGCGGACTTATATCCAGGTCTTATTATTATGAGATTATGGCTGAGATAGTAGTGGATTGTGTTGTGTACAGGCATTGCATCTCAAACTCAATTATAATACACTAGAATTTTTCATTAATAAAACTAGTGACGGAACCTTACAACAAATTTCTCTCTCTCTCTCTCTCTCTCTATAACTTATATGTTTATATGTGTGTATGTGTTGTGAATTACAAGAATATTTTGCTACACAAAACAGTACACATCAGAAAAATAAAATTCACCTAAAAATATATCTAAATTGACTTTTATTGCAAAATAAAACCTTCAGATATCCATCACTTCAGCAAATATAATGGGAGTTTTATATTTCAAAAACTAAACCCCATTTCTCACTCATACTGTTTGTCTGTACAGTATATGAGTTGTTATGAAATGTATTTTTCATTTCCTATCGCCGATTGGTATTCAATGCAAACCTGTGTTTATCCCAGAGATTGAGAGATAAAAAAATATATATCATAAAAATCCAACTCAAATGATTGACATATTTTTATTATCATATAATTCACTGCTTCCTCACAATACATTATTATTGTAATATCAAGATTGTATTATAAACCACAATACAATCATAGGTGTAATACGAATAGCCTTTCCAAAATATGTGATATTAGTGAAAAAGCTGATACTTAATCTAGATTGAATATTATTTTTTAATAAAAAACCTCTCATTATACTTAAACTCTAGGTTTGACTGTCAAACCGAGCCCTCCACGTGCTTATAGATGACTGACTGTCCCATAAGTAACAATGCTTTATTATGTATCATATACTCAAACTGAAATATAAAATTCAAATAACATAAAGGTTAAAACATTAAAAATATTCCATAACTAATGCATTAGAAAAATCACCAATCACTAATACAATAAAAAATATTTGTACGTTAATAGGGTTGAGTATATTGAGCTCAAATCAAAATACACACTCAGATTAGAAATACTAATTGCATCAGTAATCACATACATGTCTAGAGAGAGGTGTCTGAGTATCAATACTTTACTGGTAGTCACGCATTGATTTGCATATAATTTATATACAAAAACAGCGACTATTTCTCGAGTGATTAATTTTAATTGTTAATTGAATTGTTTGAACACAATTACTACTGCTATATGTCGTCCGGAGGTATTGTAAATCTGAAGACATTTGATCCGTTCGCCAAAGAGGACAACTTTGTGGTTCAGGACGGGCTCATACATGTCCGCATCCAACAGAGAAACGGCAGGAAGACATTGACCACAGTTCAGGGCATTGACAACGCCTACGACAAGAAGAAGATAATCAGGGCCTGCAAAAAGGTATGACTCCACACCCCCTACCCTTCAATCGCACCACTAAATCAAACACGTGATTAGATGCCTACCTATTTGATCATAAATTAATAAATGATTATATAATGAATTAGCTTTCTGAGTTTGATTTTTAAATTCCAAGTACTTGTAGTGCTAATAAATGGTGTCTAATATATGTGTTTGTCATATAGGAGTTCGCCTGTAACGGGACGGTTGTGGAGCACCCGGAATATGGGGAAGTGATTCAACTACAGGGCGATCAGCGTAACAATATTTGCCAATTTCTAACCAAAGTGCAAATCGCAAAAGCGGATCAGCTCAAAGTGCATGGGTTTTAAACATTGTTTACTTCAATTTATATTTATAACGTTATGCATAACATTGAACCCAATATTAAACAACAAATTTATTGATTATTATGCTTTGCAGTGAAGAGTCTTTTAAGATATACTACACTATGTAAATGTTCAAATATTTAATAAAAATGTTATTCAACTGATTATAACTTTGTCTAATTATTACTGCATAAAATTTACAATATCTTTTATATATGTATCTAATTATTATAGTCAACAACAAAAAACGCGTTTTAGAGCTTTATTCACAGAAAAAATTATAAAAATTTATTTCTAATTCATTGTTACAAATATTAAAGTTGTGTTCAAAACAATGAATCAAATATTACTTTATTTAAAGTTAAGTTTTTTTGTGAAGAAAGCTCCAAAACGCGTTTTTTTGTTGACTATACTAATTATCCATATTGGTTTAATTAATAGATTATGTTTATCAATCTAAATATCAAGGTAATAATTAAAAGGATTAAAATGATTAGTGGAAATTTAAATAATTATTTCTATTATAACTAGTATAATAATGAGATATATAATTATATTAATGAGATAGGCTGATCATGAATATTTTGTATTTTATAGACTAATGGTTAGTAATTGGAAATTATCTTAAGAATACATCAATTAAGTTATTGAAGCTAAATCTTTACATTAATTTTAATAAATATGGGCCATTTACTCAAAGTAGCCATAGTTATAACTTTCTGCCATGTTCTAACATATACTCTTGTACATGTTTAAATAGATTAACAGTGCATTAAATTAACGATATAAAATTTTAACAATTGTAATAATACAGGAATGTATAAATATTAAGCAGTTGTTACTAATTTTATCAATATATTAATAGTGAAATGTTTAGCTAAATTAAAATGGAGAAAGAGAGAGAACTTAAATGATATTTTTCAATAATAGACATTTTTAATATATTTCATTTTTCTAATACCAGAAACAATTGCACACAAATTCACAACACATTTAATGCATAAACTAAATGATGATTATCTGTAAAGCAATTTAACATTAAAATAGTCTGAGATAATAGTAAAGCATATAAATAATGTATAAATACAGTCAACACTCTGTATACAATACATTAAAAATTGTTTATAAAATCAAAACAATATACAGAATTGAATTGAAAATGAAATCAAATTATATGTTTTTAACACATAATCGAGTACTGTATTAAACTATAATTAATGTGCGTTCACTAAATGTATATAAACAGCAGTTAACTATAAATAGTGAGGCAATTGTATTGACAATAAGTAACATATTTTCTTTAAAAAGTGAAAAAATTTTCTAATAAAAACAAAATCTTCGGCTCTCTCTCTCTCTCTCTCTCTCTCTCGTCTGGAGACGTCTGTCGCAAAATGTTCACAATTGACATCAAATTTAACGCTTCAAACAGTAATTGCTTATAACTGTAACTCATATATAC